GCGAAAAATATCGCGCGTAGATCATTTCCAAAGCCTTATAGAATAGATTCGTATAGAATAGATTCGTGCTATATACTTACTGACTGAGTGGGAGGGCCGTACGGGAACCTGTCGCGAAAAGGCGTACGGACCCCATCACGTGACCATTTTCCAAAGGTTTCAGTGAGAGCGCGCGTAGGGCCGAAATACGGGTCATATGATAATATTAATTATTTGAACGCGTGGTAATAATTAATTGCAAGAATTATGAAAAGATTCTCGATTCATCAGCAGCCAGTCAGAATCGAGAATTTTATGTAGGTATGATATTAAGCGTGTATCCTAATTTTCTATTTTTTTTTCTTTCTATTTTTTGATTTATTTTTATTTTTTTTTTGCGTTTCGTACTGTGCAATATATTCGTATTACTACTTATCCATATAATTTCCGTGAAGCTTTCTTACGTATTTACAATAAACTGGTAATGCGTATCACCAGAAACTCATAAGGAAATTTAAACGTGTGTAAACTACGTAGATTCCTTGCTATCGGGAATCCTGATCCCTACAATTTCCTTTCAATATAAGCAGTTCGTATTTACAATATACTGATAATGTGTATCACCAGAAACTCATAAGGGAATTCAAACGTACATTTTCCGTATGAGTTTGCGATATGCATGGGATATTACGTATAATAAAGTCTCCTATAAACCTGATAATTAATAAACAATTTCCGTGATTTGTATATAGTTATTTCAAAAAAGGTTGTCGGATAAAATTGTGAATGTGTGCGATTGCAAGACCGAAAGTAGCCATGGGTTTTCCTAATTGAAAGGAAATAACAACTGATTTATACTCTAAGATGTTCTGTGGTTAACATTGGCTCTATTTAGACTCCATTTCTATTTAAGGTGAATCCATTAAGTGCAACTAACAGTGTAACCATACTCCATTTCGGTCGTGCAATCTCTCTTCGACAATCGCCGTTCTACACGACAACGTTTTTTGAAATAGCTGTATCTTGATTTGATTTCAGTTTTTAGTGTTTTAGACCGTAGGTTTCTATCTCGCCTTGAGTTGTTTCTGGTATCGATGATAACTTTGGCTCTTAATTAATCCAGTATTGTTCCCTTAACTATTGTAAATGATATGTTATCCTATCTAACAGTATTTCTATTAAGTGTTCTATAAGTAATCATGCAGTAGCTTCTCATCTTGCTTGTAGTCTACCTGACTGAAGTAGGTTTGCGTCGCATGAGTGTCCTACTGTCAAGACAAAACATAGTTTAGTATAAACATACTAATGGTCTATCACCCATACTGCACTGTGATTGGCTACTCTACTAATGGTCTAATTTGTGATTTCCACTCGCGGGAAAATCAATCGCATTCATAAATTATGTTAAGGATATTTCAATTTGTTTTCATTATTTGACCGATTAGTTAGTTAAGTATGTTTATACTAAAACAATTAGACCTCTCGGCCTCGTGGACTACGAGCTATTAGCCCATTCGGCCTCGCGGACTCGGCCTCATGGGCTATTAGAGAGGTTTAGCATGACGTTCACGGCAAACGCCAAACGGCAGAAAAGATCACGTGACCTGATTTTTTTGAGTTTAACGTTGCAGTTTCAACGCGCGAGAGGGTTATTTT